GGGAGGCAGGGCAGGGGGCAGTGCGGGGGACTAGGTAGGGGTGGAGGGGCTGGGGAGCAGGGCGGGGGTACGGGGGTAACTGCGGGGGACGAGGCGGGACTCACTCACCGCGCGGAGGGATCCGCGCCCCGGGCTCTCGGCGTTTCACTAGGCCTCGCCGCAGCCTCAGCCGCCCGGCCGCCCCCGCGCATTGCGCATGCTCCGCTCCCACAAGACCCGGAAGCAGGAATCCCGGAGCGGAGCCGGCGGTGTTGAGACAACCCGGAGGATGGAACTTTCCCCGCCCGGAGCGGAGTTGGCAGAGCCGGGCACGGCGGGACCCCACGGGCAGCGCTTGGGGAGCTGCGGGCCGGGGCAACGGGCCAGAGACACCCGCGCCGTGGTGCCCCCCCCCGAGCCACGCCCCCCCGACACAGGCCCCCCCCCAGCCACGGTGCTCGCACCCAAACACAGCCCCCACGAGCCATGGTGCCACCGCGCAGACACAGCCCCCCCCACTCCCACCAGGCCATGATACATGTCTCCCCTGCCCCAGCTGTTTTTTGGCAATACTACTAGAGCCCCTTTTTGAACGATGGGTCTAGGATGCTTTCCCCACCGCCATCATCAGCCCGACTGTGTTTGTGCCATTTTTATCACCGATTGTTTTAGTGAGCCAGGGAGGGGACTGAAATAACAGCATCTTCTGGGCATCCTGGGGTATTTGTTTTCCGGATTGATTGGAGCTAGTGACCAGGGGCGGCTAACGGGAGTTTTGAGAGGGAGTTCTCCAGGTGAAGGAGGAGCGATTACGGGACCCGTCAGGTAAGTGTGTTCTCAGTAGTGTGTGTGTTTGTGGTGTGCTTGACTGAAATATACCGTGTGGTCTGTTTGTTTGGGGTGGGCTTATAGGTGCTGACTCCATGGGTGCTCCAGGGCTGGAGCACCCATGGGGAAAAATTGGTGGGTACTGTGCACCCACCGGCAGCTCCCCGCCTTGCCCCCCATGCCAGCTCCTCCACCTCTGCTACTCCCCTGAGCACGCTGTGTGCCCGCTTTTTCTCCCTTGCTCCCAGCGCTTGCACTGCGAAACAGCTGTTTCACGTGGCAAGGACTGGGAGGGAGGGGGGAGGAGGGGGAACACAGAGCATTCGGGGAAGAGGTGGGGTTGGGGCGGGGATTTGGGGAAGGGGTCCAATAGGGAGAGGGAGGAGGCAGGGACTTTGGGGAAAGCGTTGGAATGGGGGCAGGGAAAGGGTGGATTCGGGCCACTGACAGGGGCGCGAGCACCCACCGGCTCTGGGAAAAGTTGGCGCCTATGGGTGGGCTGAGCCTAGCAGCCTGCTAGGAAAGGCTGAGAGCTTCTTCTTAACGAGGCTTTGATCCCTAAGCCCTTTAGCACCCATCAACCCTTAGAATCATAGAATATCAGGGTTGGAAGGGTCCTCAGGAGGTCATCTAGTCCAACCTCCTGTTCAAAGCAGGACCAATCCCCAACTAAATCATCCCAGCCAGGGATTTGTCAAGCCAGGCCTTAAAAAACTCTAAGGAAGGAGATTCCACCACCTCCCTAGGTAACCCATTCCAGTGCTTCACCACCCTCCTAGTGAAAACATTTTTCCTGATATCCAACCTAAACCTCTTCCACTGCAACTTGAGACCATTACTCCTTGTTCTGTCATCTGGTACCACTGAGAACAGTCTAGATCCATCCTCTTTGGAACCCCCTTTCAGGTAGTTGAAAGCAGCTATCAAATCCCCTCGCATTCTTCTCCTCTGCAGACTAAACAATCCCAGTTCCCTCAGCCTCTCCTCATAAGTTATGTGCTCCAGCCCCCAATCATTTTTGTTCCCCTCTGCTGGACTCTTTCCAATTTTTCCACATCCTTCTTGTAGTGTGGGGCCCCAAAACTGGACACAGTACTCCAGATGAGGCCTCACCAATGTCGAATAGAGGGGAACGATCACGTCCCTTAATCTGCTGGCAATGCCCTACTTATACAGTCCAAAATGTCGTTAGCCTTCTTGACAACAAGGGCACACTGTCGACTCATATCCAGCTTCTTGTTCACTGTAACCCCTAGGTCCTTTTCTGCAGAACTGCTGCCTAGCCATTCGGTCCTTAGTCTATAGCAGTGCATGGGATTCTTCTGTCCTAAGTGCAGGACTCTGCACTTGTCCTTGTTGAACCTCATCAGGTTTCTTTTGGCCCAATCCTCTAATTTGTCTAGGTCCCTCTGTATCCCATACCTACCCTCCAATGTATCTACCACTCCTCCCAGTTTAGTGTCATCTGCAAACTTGCTGAGGGTGCAATCCATGCCATCCTCCAGATCATTAATGAACATATTGAACAAAACCGGACCAAGGACCGACCCTTGGGGCACTCCGCTTGATACTGGCTGCCAACTAGACATGGAGCCATTGATCACTACCCGTTGAGCCCGACGATCTAGCTAGCTTTTTATCCACCTTTTTTAGTCCATTCATCCAGCCCATACTTCTTTAACTTGCTGGCAAGAATACTGTGGGAGACCGTAAAAAAAGCTTTGCTAAAGTCAAGGAATAACACGTCCACTGCTTTCCACTAATTCTTCACGGTTTGTAAGCAGCAGATTAAGAATAGCTCTGCCCCTAGTTGGTTCCTCCAGCACTTGCACCAGGAAATTGTCCCCTACACTTCCCAAAAATTTCCTGGATTGTCTGTGCACTGCTGTATTGCTCTCCCAGCAGATATCAGGGTGATTTAAGTCTCCCATGAGAACCAGGACCTGCGATCTAGTAACTTCTGTTAGTTGCCGGAAGAAAGCCTCGTCCATCTCATCCCCCTGGTTTGGTGGTCTATAGCAGACTCCCATCATGACATCACCCTTGTTGCTCACACTTCTAAACTTCATCCAGAGACTCTCAGGTTTTTCTGCAGTTTCATACCGGAGCTCTGAGCAGTCATACTCCTCTCTTACATACAGTTTTCAGAGTAGCAGCCGTGTTAATCTGTATCCGCAAAAAGAACAGGAGTACTTGTGGCACCTTAGAGATTAACAAATTTATTAGAGCATAAGCTTTCGTGGACTACAGCCCACTAAGGTGCCACAAGTACTCCTGTTCTTTTTACATACAGTGTAATTCCCCCATCTTTTCTGCCCTGCCTGACCTTCTTGAACAGTTTATATTCACGCATGACAATACTCCAGTCATGTGAGTTATCCCACCAAGTCTCTGTTATTCCAATCACATCATAATTCCTTGACTGTACCAGGACTTCCAGTTCTCCCTGCTTAACCAGGGGGCGGGGCTACTCAGGAAGACCAGAGATATGCACAGCTGTTCTCCCCCCCCAGGTATTAATACATACTCTGGATTAAATAATAATTAAAAAGTTATTTTATGAATGTGATACAGCATGGCCAGAGGGCAGCAGGAGAGGGTTAGAAGGGAGCCTTATTCCCTGTAGAGGGAAGAAAGTTTGCTATAGATTAATTAGAGCACCTGAAGCCAATTAGAGCACCTGAAGTCAGTCACCTGATAAAAAACCCCTGCTTCAATCAGACAGGGGAAGGAGTTGAAGCAGAGAACAGTTTGGAGGGAAGTAGAGGTAAGTTTGGAGAAGTGCTGTGGTGGGATAAGAAGACCAAGACCCTAGGTAAAGGGACACCTGGCTTGTGTAGAGGGAGGGCAGGAAGCCCCACAGCCACAAGCTGAAGGGCAGGAGAGGGAAGTAGCCCAGGGGAAGGAACTGTTAGTTCAAGTGGTTTTCTGCTATCCCTAGGGCCCCTGGGCTGGGACCCAGAGTAGAGGGTGGACCCGGGTCCCTCTGTCTCCACTCCCCTCCTCTCCTCTAGGACACTAGTGGGGCAGTTAATATCCCAGTTCAGGGGCAAGAAACTGTGCCCTGAACCCCCTCAAGAAGAGAAAGCGTGAGACCCATCATAGTAGTGCTGGCAATTTGCTACAATTAAATACAAAAAGTAGGATTTAAGTGGTTCCAAGTAATAACAGATAGAACAAAGTGAATTACCAAGCAAAATAAAATAAAACACATGAGTCTATGCCTAATACAG